TTCTCAATAATTTAGGGACTATATTTTTACGCTTTTATAATTTAAGGGATTAAAATAATACTTCTTAATAATTTAAGAGTCATTGTGTAAATAATTTTAAATTTTATTTCATAAGAGGATATTCTTAAGTTCTTTTTGTTAACTAAAGTTTTGAACATTAAATTTCAAATTTTAATAGCAAGTGGATGATTTTTTTTTTTAAATAATAAAAATTCATCATATTTGGTTTGAATGTTTAGAGCTTCCAGAATCATTCTTGATTAAATGTACATGGAGGTGTTTGGAAAGTTAGGGGTTGTTTGGATGATTTACATAAGTGTATCTTTTAACTTTTTATGAAATATGGATTGAGTTTGGATTGGATTTGAAGTGATATATTAAAGAGGTGATGTGATTTAAATAGAATAGTGACTTTTTGACTTTTTTAAGGGATGCCAAACCTAACCTTAGTTTAGGGGTGAAAATAGCCCCCAAATCGACAAAAAGTCAATCCAGTCAATTTGAGGGTTAAAGACATTGCAGACTGATGAGGATAGGGAGCTTTTATTTGCACATCTCTATTCCCCTCTTTGTACATATTTAATGATAATTATTTTTATTATAATTTTATTTCCAAGTGAAATTACTATTATGGACATCATACACAATTCAAATAAAACATTCGGAAGTTGAATGTCGAAAAAATAAAAAAAAATTCGGAATTCTACTACCAAACAAGTTGTTTATTTTCGGAATTCTAATTCCGAACCAATTATTTATTTTCGGAATACTACTTCCGAACCAATTATTTATTGAAAAAGATGTGTATAAAGTGTAATAGGTGTGTACAAATAGAAGCTCCCATGAGGATAGTGGGATAGGGAGCAAAATAACATTTTTGCCCCTATTTTTGTAGGCCTTATTTGGAAATTCCAACTATTTTGTAGGGATATTTTTGTCATTTGGCATCTCAACATCATTTCAAATGAGTGGTGTTATTAGCACCTCATTTATTATTTTGAACCCCCACTTATAAATTTTGAAACCCTTAAAATTTCTTTTCTCCTCTCAAATAATATCAAAATTATCCTTGTGAAAATATTTCACTCATTTAATTGAATGCACACCCCCCACATCCCAAAAAAATCTCTTTTCCAAAAACTCTAACAAGACCCACGAAGAAGAAGAGTCAAATGTGATTACTCTCTCTCTCTCTCTCTCTCTCTCTCGCTTTTTCTTTTCTTCGGTGATTAATGTTCGGTTATCATTTCCTAAACAAATAATAAATATCCAGTTATCAATTTCCGAACAAATAAACAATGTTCAAGCCTGTATTCCTGAATTTTGGTCATATGTTCGGGAGTTCAATCTCGAAAAAATGACGAACATATTTTATTATTTTTGCCAATTTTTTTTAAAGAAATTTACCCTTACAGGGCCAATCTCCTCTGAGCTAAGAATACCAGCAAAGCTATGAACTTCCTCTGAACTTTTATTGTTGTACTCCTCTCATCTCATGGAGTTGTGGTTATCGAAAAAACTTTCACTCATTATCATTGCCAGAGAAGTGTAGGTAATCAAATGGTTGCTACCGTTATTGCCAAAATATTGCTGCCAAAGGGTTTTCAAGGTTTTGAGGGTGGGTAAGTTTTGAAGGTAAAATTTGGGGAAGATGGATGAATGGTGATGGAGGTGGATACTCTCATAAATCCTAATTCATGATGTAGTGGTGTGTGGGTGTAATTGTGAGATGGAGTGTCCCAAAATTAATGATGTCATTTTTAGTAATTTTATTTGAGGTTATTATTGTAATAAAAAAAAACTAAAAATTGAGGGGTCCAAAATAATTAATGTAGTGTTAATAACAGCACTCTTTCAAATACATTACCCAATACAAAAAGCCAACTCATCTTCCCAAATAGAAAAACTAAAATAATCTACTAAAATAGTCAAAATATAAAAAAGCCAAAAGGTAGTCACTTCCCAAACACCTGTTATATATATTTGGATAGAGTAATGCTTGAAATTTTTAAAATCTCACTTTTAAATTTGTCCACAAATCAATGTAGCAAGGAGTTGAAATTGGGGTTGGTAAAACCATGTTGTGAGATCCCATAGGGGTTTATCTCGTCAAACTGTTTTTATTGTAAGTGTGTGAGTCAATTTCTGACCACACTGCCCAAATTAGTAATTAGCTGGCGAACACTGGCAGAATAGATCTCGCCCGAACGACCTGCAACAGAAAAAAGAAGTTCCGGCGGTGGTTCGTCCACCCGGGAGCACTCCGACAATCAAGTCAGTTATCTCTCAAAGATAGCAAAAAGTGCTTAACTCACTATTCATAATACAAAAAGCATATCTTAGACACACGAGGGTGCCTCCCTTTTATAGCCAACACAATTCTAGTCCCAATAGAAGCCTAGTTCTAATGGACTTAGGATTACTGCTAATCTTGGACTCCTAGTAAAATTAGGATAAACTCTCTAAGAGTCTTATCTTTACCCAAACTGAAGTCTTCTCTCATTCTAGGACTCTTGTCCCTTATCCGCTTATCTCGGATTCCGGTATCTTCGGAGATAACCTCGGCCTTGCCGAGATCACCTCGGCGTCATGACCAGGACACGTGGCACCTCGGCTGGCACTTTGGTGACACCTCGGCCACGTGTCGTTATTCAAAATTTTATGTCCCCGCATATATATATATATATATATGAATAATGTTATAATACATATTCTCAAAATAGTATACTATATGCAACTTATGACATTTGTGGTGTTCATAATTAAATCTTTTTCAGTCATAATTAATACCACATAAAATATAATTAAAGACATTTTAGATCATAACCAAAATAATAATTACAATAGATAATAATCAACATCACAATAAGTCATAACTAATACCATAATGAGTCATAACTAAGCCATAACACCACAATAAGTCATAATCAAATATCATAAATGTCATAACTAGGACATATGATCCTATATATATGTGTTAACTTTTAAATCTAAGTGACTATATATATATATATTCTATTTTTCTTTTATTATTTTTTTATATGTTTTTCTACACTATCTCTCTTTATAGAAACTCTTTCTATTAGGGCTGAGCAAGGAATCCGTGAAATCCGTAATCCGATCCAGTCCAGTCCAATCCGATAGGTTTGGATTGATTTTTTGAATCCGTGGTTCGGTTCCGGATTGAAAAATTAAAAATCCGCAGTACACGGATTGGTTCCGGATTGAACCCCACGGTTCCGGATTGGAACCGATCCGGACCGTATACAAATAGTATATATTTTTATTATACATCCTCCCCTATAGTATCTTCTCTTATTTTATATAAAATCTAAACTCAAACCTAAAACCATATAATATCTTCTTTTATTACTTTTGTTTATTAGTTTTTAGTTTTAATTTGTAATGGTCTAAATACTTATGGTGAAACCAGTTTTCTTATGGTTGTTTAAATTCTAGCACAGTATGTCGCTATTATAGAAATAGATGTTGCTATTGTGGAACTAATATAGCGCTATGTTTATATTTTTATGAAATTAAAGTGTTATATATATTTTTTTGTTATTTAATTATGTGAATCCGTGGTCCTAAACCGATCCAATCCGTATTTAAATGGATTGGTTCGGATTGGTTCCATGATTTAAACGGATTGGATTGGTTCCAATTTTTCAGGAACCGTAGATGACGGATTGGTCCTGATTTTACCCCAATCCGATCCAATCCGAACCATGCTCACCCCTACTTTCTATGCTCTTTCTCCTCTACAATTCATTGGTAGGGTTATCCATAACCACCAATGCATAATCCAATCCCATTGTCTAATAAATTCTCCAAACCTCATATTTTAAAATCACTATAAAAGGAGTTTTTATATTTTTTTCAATAGTTAATAACTTTAAGAATAATTGATTTTAAATGTTTACAAATTATTTTTGAACAATACCTGAATTAACTAAATAAAAAATATTCACAATTATTAAATAATTATAAAAATAAAAATTGTGCCATAAACAAAAAAATTTTTGAAGGCATTTTTTTAAACAACACTTTACAGCTAACTAAATAAAATTATTTAGAATTAAGTATTAAATGAAATGATTATAAAAATAAAAATTGTGCCATAAACAAAATTATTTTAGAGGCATTTTTTTAGACAACATTTTACAACTAACTAAATAAAATTATTTACAATTAAGTATTAAATGAAATGATTATAAAAATAAAAATTTTGTCATAAACAAAAATTATATTTGAACTACTGATTTTATTTATTTTTTAAAGACATTTTTTAGACAACACATTACCAAAATAAAAAATATTAAATAAAATGATTATAAAAACAAATGCAACCCCTATTTATATATATTTTTATTTTACATGCTGATGTAATAAAATAAAAATTTTAAAAAAATTATAAAGAAAAAAAAATTCATATAAGATTTTTTCTTTGAGTTTAGATCTCTTGAGTATTTGTTCTTTTTTTTGTAAGCTTTTATTTTTTAGGAAAGAAAACTATTCAGAATATTGTAAAAGGGAGGTACCTGTAATTATGCTAAACCTCATGGGAGGTAAGTGTAATTTACCCTAGGAAAGAATGAATGAGACTCAGTTGTGCCAGCTAGTATTTATTGATGCAATGACCGTCGGCGTTCTTTTTAATAGGAGATGACGGTTACCAAAAAGAGAAGGAGAGAGGGTGTGCAAAATTAGGTAAGTGTGCCGTTGGGTGTGATAATATTATGAATATGAATAAATTTAGTATTAAGTGAAGTGTTTAAAGAAATTTTATTAAAATTTAAAATTTAGATTGAGGGTTCAAATAAATGAGAATTCAAAAAAATTTAAATAGATGCTAATAGCAGCCTACAAAATTTAACCATTTTTCATAGTTTTCCTAAACCACCTCTGTTTGCCATTTAAATGGGCCCAATTGTCTCACGAATTAAGCCCAAAATGGTAAGAGGTTCCTTTGTGAATGTTGTAATAAACGGCGTCGTATGTTGTTCTTCTCCCTTGCAGACTATAACATCAAAGTCGACCCACCATTGTTGATTGCACAAAGTCAGAGAGAGTGACATATGATCAGATCAAATGGGAAGATGAAAAATGGCAGATTACCCTCAATCAGACCGTCCATTTTCTCATCAACCCATATCTCCAAATCACTGGTCCCACTCAATCACACTTTCCCGCCATCAGAGACCAACTACCTTTTGTACCCACCAACTGCCTCTTCTCTCTCCTCTGCTCTGCAACACTTCATCAACTCAGACACCCCTTCCCATGGCCAAAAGATCCACACCCACATTCTCAAAACTGGGTTCAAGTCCAACACCAATATCTCCATCAAACTCCTCATTCTACACATTAAATCTAGTTGTCTTGCCTATGCACGCCAAGTGTTTGATGAATTGCCTAACCCAACTCTCTCTGCTTATAATTATATGATTTCGGGTTACATAAAGAATAGGCAGGTGTTAGAATCTCTGAATTTGGTTAAGGGATTGGTTTTTTCGAATGAAAAGCCTGATGGGTTCACGTTTTCGATGATATTGAAGGCTTCTACTTGTGAGAGTGTTTCATCGGTTGCGAGTAGTTTGGGAAAGCAAGTCCATGCCCAGGTGGTGAAATCCGATGTGGAGGGTGATGAAGTTCTTTACACTGCTCTTGTTGATGCATATGTTAAGAGTGGGAGAGTAGATTATGCGAGGAGAGTCTTCGATATGATGTTGGAAAGGAATGTGATTTGTTCAACGTCAATGATTTCGGGTTACATGAATCAAGGTTGTGTTGAAGATGCTGAGTATATTTTCAAGAAAACACTAGAAAAAGATGTGGTAGTTTATAATGCGATGATTGAAGGTTATAGCAAATCATTGGAAACAGCTAAGAAGGCACTTGAGGTTTTTATTGACATGCTAAGGTTGGATTTTAGGCCTACAATATCGACTTTTGCAAGCATTATTGGGGCTTGCTCTGTATTGTCAGCATTTGAAATTGGTCAACAAGTCCAGGCTCAAATTATGAAGACTGAACTCTTCACTGACATAAAAATGGGAAGTGCTCTTGTAGACATGTATGCAAAATGTGGAAGAATTGAGGATGCAAGAAGGGTTTTTGACCGCATGCCTGAAAGGAATGTATTTTCATGGACTTCCATCATTGATGGATATGGAAAGAATGGAAATCCAGAGGAAGCACTTGAGCTCTTTTTCAGAATGCAAAGAGATCGATGCACTGAACCTAATTATGTTACGTTCCTTGGTGCTCTGTCGGCTTGTGGGCATGCTGGCTTAGTTGCCAAAGGCCAAGAAATCTTTGATAGCATGGAGAGAGAGTACTTGATGAAACCAAAGATGGAACATTATGCTTGCATGGTTGACCTCTTGGGGCGCGCTGGAAGTTTATATCAGGCATGGGAGTTTGTAATGGCAATGCCTGAGAAGCCTAATTCTGATGTTTGGGCAGCTTTGCTTAGCGCTTGTAGACTACACGATGATGTAGAAATGGCGAGTATAGTATCCAATGAAATTTTCAAGTTGAGTCATGATGACCGTCCAGGGGCATACATTGCGCTATCCAATACTTTGGCAGCTGCTGGGAAATGGGATAGTGTAAGTGAACTCAGGGAATTAATGAAGGTCAGGGGGGTATCCAAAGATACTGGTTTCAGTTGGGTTGGGACTGATGGTGTGGTTTAGAAGGCTTCCATGTTGGACAAAAGATGTGAGTAAACATGTTAGCAACCGGGAAGTAAAGCCTCCTCTAATATTGTTATACAATACTATCATTCTTAAGATTAATTGAGTGTCAAAAAGTTTCTTATTTAATTTCTCATCTTTTAGCATTACTCTCATAGCTTGGTTAGCCTTAACAATCTACATCACTGTGGCTTAATATGGTTGATAATTCCAAAGTCTTGATGACTGTGTAACAAAACTTGACCTCTCCTCATTCTAAACCTAGGGGAGTGGGTTATGGAGACCAATGATAATAAATTTCCTTTTGTTCATTACCCAAAACAAAAAAAAAGGAATGTTGGTTAGTCATGGTGGAAGTAGGAGTATGTGACATGGAAGGATGGCATTGGTGGGTGGGTCAACAGTTTCTATATTGTTGGTTGTGGTGGCAAAGACCTAAAAGACAACATATTTCTATTTGTTTTGTTTTGTTTTGTTATATTGGTGGGTATATGTAATCTCAGTCAAATATTGTTGATTATAAACTATACACAAAACAAATAACAAAAAAAAAACTCACAAACCCAAGAAGAAAGGAGGAGAAGACGAAGAAGAATAGCTATGTGCTGTTGTTGCTGCAGTGAGGAATGTGAATGCAGGCCTTTGGGCTTTCTCTTGGGGCTACCCTTTGCTTTCTTGGCCCTTCTCCTCTCACTCATCGGAGTCATTATCTGGATTGTCGGGTTCGTCTCTCTCACTCTCTCTTACAGTATATTACAAAAACAAATGTAAACAATATGTATGCATGTGAAACTGATCATAAGGGGTTGGTTTGTGAATTTGAATGTGGTTGTAGGTTAGTGTTGACATGCATATGCCCATGTTGCTTGTGCGTGACAATAATAGTGGAGCTAGCGCTGGGATTGATCAAGGCTCCCTTTCTTGTCGTGAAATGGTTCACAGAACAGATCCCTTGCTAGATCTAAAATCATCACCTTGATATTCTACCGTTGGTTCTTGGAACAAAAAGGATTCTTTGACTATGTTGTTGTGTTACTCGCATGAATTTCTCCATTTTTATTTTATGATACATATTTTATGGTTCTTGATGTTATTTACCTTCAATCATGATAAACAAGAGGATGTTAGTCACATAATGCAATTGTTAGTGAATAATGTGCCTGTTTGGTGCAGCTTAAAAGCTGCTTATTTCAGCTTTCAGCTTAATTTAAGCTATTTTGATGTGTTTGGTTTAGCTTATGGTTCTTGGAACAAAAAGGATTCTTTGACTATGTTGTTGTGTTACTCGCATGAATTTCTCCATTTTTATTTTATGATACATATTTTATGGTTCTTGATGTTATTTACCTTCAATCATGATAAACAAGAGGATGTTAGTCACATAATGCAATTGTTAGTGAATAATATCTTGATGTTTAAGCTATGAATATATGGGTTTTTCCACTTGGTGTTTTGTTAGCTTTTTTTGAGTTTCCAAATCCTCAAAAAAGGATGACTTGACATTCAATTCGAGTGATCTGAGCTTTGATTGAAGGACATGCCATAGAACTAATTGTAAGAGAGAAGACAGTAGTTGCTCAGTTGTCTGGCTGTAATTTTCTTTCTCAAGGAGAATATGATTATATTAATAGCCGATACTAAATAAACTGAATGTGTTGACTGTGTATGTGCATTGTAATTTTTTATAAAAATTACCTCTTATAATTTTAAAAATTACAAATACTTTATGATTTATAATTTTTTATTTTACATAATTAGTAGATTTTTTTTTTCTAAATACTCTCATGGTAAAATTATCAAAATTATTAATTAAAATACATTTCTAATATAATTAAAAATATTAATTAATTTAATGATTTATGAATAAAATGAATTATTTGTTATATGATGGATGTAATTTTAGAACTAAAAAAAAAAATTATATTTTAAACAAACGAACTTGTAAAAGAAAAATACTTGATAGCTCGAATTTGTATAGCCCGAATGGCTCAAATGTATGTATCTAAACAACGTCGTTTTACTCTAAAACAATATCGTTTGAAGACATTCGAACCATTCGAGTTTGAATCTGAGTTTGAGTTTGAGTTTGTAATTTATAAAGTGTACGAATGTGACGGAGGCGATTTCTCGAAAGCCATTTTCACTCTTCATTTCTCGCTGCTCATGTTTCCTCTCACTCTTCTCTCTATCTAACAGTGAAAATGAAGGCATCAATGTTGAGATCCACAGCAACAACTCTTAGAAGAGCTTCTTCTTCATCATCCTCTCCATCTTCAACCCACCTCCTTCGCCGATCCTGCTCCTCCGACTCCAACCCCGATCACAAGGTCACCGTCCTTGGCGCTGCTGGCGGCATCGGCCAACCCCTCGCCCTTCTCATAAAGCTCAACCCCCTCGTCTCCTCCCTCTTTCTTTACGACATCCCTCTTTCTCTACGACATCGCCGGAACCCCCAGCATCGCCGCTGACGTCAGCCACATCAACATGCGCGCCCAAGTAGCCTCTCCTTCTATCTCTAATTTACATACATTCTTACGAATTTATATAAGTGTGTGAATTGTTAGGGTTTTGTATTCATGTATAAGTGGGTGTATGAGTGTGTGAATTCTTAGGGTTTTGTATTAATGTATGTGTGTGTGAATTGTTAGGGTTTTGTTGTGATTTTTTTGATAGGTTGCGGGGTTCATGGGAGAGGAACAGCTAGGGCAGGCCTTGGATGGAGCCGATTTGGTGATCATACCGGCTGGTGTTTTGAGAAAGCCTGGAATGACTCGTGATGATCTCTTCAACATCAATGCTGGCATTGTCAAGTCTCTTTGCTCTGTCATCACCAGTACTGCCCTAATGTGAGTCTCTCTCTCTTTCTTTCTTGCATATGTACATCATTACCTAATTGACGCTTCTATTTGAAATATTGTTATGGAGGTAGATATTCATCACGACTCTATTGGGGATAGCTAAAATTCTTTTCCTTTTTATCCTTTTCTTGATGGAAATAGGCATTAGTGTAATAAAATATATACACATGTAGCGATGGAGTCAGGATTTTAGTTGAGGGGGAAATTCTAAGACAAATTATTAGGTCAGGTTGGTTTAGAACACAAAGTTTAGTTTGGTGAAAAAAACAATATTTCTAAACTTAAAAACGATCTTATGGGAAAATTTCCATTCAGTTGAAGTTTCGTAAAAAAAAAAAAATTCAAATCAGTGGTAGACTATATAAATTTTAATAATTTAAGTCTTAAACTTTTTCATAAAGATGTAATTATTTTGTGAAAACTCCAGTAAATTGTAATTTCTCCTAAAATTAAAATCTTCATATAAGGAGTCAATCTTTGTCAATATTCTAATTATGGTGGGTTGATTTTGTTGGAAGAAGAACAAGAAACATTTTAAAGGGTATATATATATAATTTAGAAGGATAAAATTGAAAACATTTTCAAAACTTAAGCTAAAATTGTAATTTCACAAAAGTTGAGGAAGGGCACGTGCTCCTCCTGGTTCTTCACTAACTCCGTCCCTGCACACATGACTCAATACATTTATGTATATGTGCTAACTGCCATGTTGGGAATAATTTAATTTTTAACCCTTTATGCCTTTTTGAATGGAATTAGGCTCTGGTGAATATGATAAGCAATCTGGTGAATTCCACAGTTCCGATTGCAGCCGAGGTATTTAAGAAGGCTGGGACTTATGATGAGAAGAAGCTATTTGGTGTGACTATGCTTGATGTTGTTAGGGCTAAGACCTTTTATGCCGGGAAGGCGAAGGTCCCGGTGGCGCGTATATTCATTTCTGAGGTTCTTTTAGTTCTTCCTCTATTTGAACTTTGTTTGGTTGCCTTGAAAATCTAGAAATACAAATAATAATATGAATGCTATTTTTTGAGATACAGATGGATATCAAAAGATGGTACCAGAAAACCTACTATCATGCTCCCTTCACAATTTTATCACAACTTGGTTGATAATCATTTGTACACTTCTTTGAGATATGAAGTTTCATATCTATTTATTTGTCTTGCAATTTTAGGAATGCCACTTTTTGAGAAATCATGCTTCTGTGTTGAACACCAAATTTTCAACAATTTACTTAATTAACTACATTCACTTTCATAAAACATTTTTCATCCCACAGTTTGAGCACACTTATTCTCTAGCCTCATCTTCCCCTGACCCCCCCTCCCCCAAAAAAAAAATACACTGGATTGAGAATTTATGATAGCGTTTGGTAGAGTTTTCTAAATATGATTTGAGAATAGAGTTGTATTTTAAGTTTGTGAGTTTTGGAATTATGATTTGAGTGTGGAAAATTTGTTTGGTTATGAGTTTTGAATTGATTTTGAAATTTTTGATATGACATATGATATTTGATTAAAAAATTTACAACTCATAACCAAACACACAACCCAAAATTTTATTCCAAGTTCATAAAAAAAATTTAAAAAAATTCAAAAAATATTTTTTATTTAAAATATTAAAATAACAAGTGCAAAAAAAAAAAAACCAAAAAAAAAAAAAAGAATGTAATACATCAAGAAACTAAACAACAAAAGTCTGCCCGCCTCTAGCCTCCCAAGCTACGTCCTTGGAGGTGGCATGCTACCTGTACCTGAAAATGATATTCCCATATAGGGTGAGCCACATCCCAGTAGAGATGTGCTAAACACAGTATGGGCAATAACTAAGATCTTAGCAATTGATAAATGTTCAATTTTCATAAACCAATTCGTAATCCATTTCCATTTCTTATCAATTTCCCAATTTCCATCAATGGCTCAGAACCTGGCCAACTACTTATATGAGACAAAGACACATATTAAACATTTTCCATTATTGCAATAGATAAACACACAGGTTATATCAATATCTCAACAGATAAGCATACAAGCTATATCCACATTTCAACAGATATGCATATTAGCTATATAAACACTTCCCATGACAAGCATATGAGCTGTATCAACACTTCCAATGACAAGCATATAAGCTGTATCAACACAATATCTGACAAGCATATGAGTTGTATCAGTGGAGTCCATCCCCTATCTCCTCCCAAACAACATCCGGTTTAGAAGTCCATCCCCTATCTTCCCCTAAACCGTGGAGTACATCCCCTATCTCCTCCCACACACACAATGCATATATACACAAAGGTCATATACACAATCAATCAATACATAACGTTAATGTATTCTGTCAACCGTCATACTCTATGACATATCCACTTGATTAGTTTTAGTTTGCCTAATCATCATGCATTGTCTACAACAATCAAAACTACCCTCCACCGGTAGCCCAAGCAATTATTTCTAAACAGATAATAAAAGCTCCAACAGATAAAATATCAATGTTTTCAAAAGTGGTCGATTAACAAATCCAACTCCACTATTCTACCATATAACGAGTCAATTTCATTATTTCCAACTCAATTCCAAATATCAACACTTTTCTCAAATTAATTATACCAATTAATTTACACAACGAATTAGGGCTTTCTCCCCCCATTTTCCAATATTGACTCAATGGTCCATATATCAACAACCAACATCAATACCGCTATTTTGAAACCCAAAATACTCATTTTAGAATCAAAATAATAAAGCCCTCTTTGACATTTTGAAACCCTAAGTCCCAAAATTTCCCAACTTCAACACTTTATCAAAATCACCAAAAATCTATGTTAAAGACCATAAAAGTGAGTAAGAATCCCTATCTCAAATTCAGAGCCCAAGAGGAGAAGATGTAGAAAACTAAAATGCTCCAAACTCCAAGATTCACGGATCAAAACGAAGCCCTCGACGATCAACACAACCTTTACAAAGGGCGAAGGGAAGGAAAGTACTCTAACTAGATCAAACCCTAGAGAGAAGGGAGTTTCTAGAGAGAGAGGCTCTCAAAATATCTTTTTAGAAAGTAAGAGAGAGAGAGAAAGTGTAGAAAGTGATTCAAAAATGCCCAGCTGCCCTCTGTTATACGACATTCCCGCTCGAGCGGAAAACACAATGCTCGAGCGTCAAGAACAAAAATTTGGACACGCTCGAGCGCAATAAGGCCCGCTCGAGCGCCGAGACACAAGAATAAAGTACTCCCGCTCGAGCGCGAAAACCAGTCCGCTCGAGCGCAGATTTCCCCCTCCCAGAACTTATATCCAGAAAGTACTACCCGCTCGAGCGCCAACAAACCCGCTCGAGCGCCACCGCTCGAGCGTAAACAAACCCGCTCGAGCGTAAAAATCACATCTGCAGAAGTTTTGCAGGAACACGAAATACTGGAAGTGTGCAATCCCCACTCGAACGCAAGAATACCCGCTCGAGCAGATCGCCTAAAAACTGGACAACAAGGAATTGAAACCAAGGCCTAACCAACCTGTAACAACCCTGCCCAAAACATCCTAAAACTCAATAAAGTGGAATTAAAGGACGACAACAAGATAGATACCACTACCAACATCACGGAATCGAGTCCGAAATACAACAGAACAGTAAAGGGATAACCAGGATTGCTATAACCTCCCCCCCTTAAAGAATTTCGTCCCCGAAATTAAACACAAGTTTTTCAAAAACAGGTTTTCTCCATTCTCAACAATATTACAACATAATATTAAACAACCCGACCCATTACTGGTCGATCCCATCTCTTTTCAAGAGGCATTTTACAACATAAATTACAAGTGCATTATCAACATGCAATTTTCTTCCATTCCCAACCATTTCCAACATACATGGTTCACAGTTCATATCATAATCAATATACATACAACTCCAATTCGACAATATAGTCAACATATGCAATATCATAATCAACTCCCATATCAAGGTAAGTTCTACAACATACTTTCATTAACCCAAAACATTACCAATGTTTTACAACTTAAGACATCAATAAAGCTCTTAAGTCCAACGACAATACATAATCTAAATACCAAATTACTCAACAATAAACAAGTCCGGGTATTTCTCGCGGACCTCCAACTCACGTTCCCAAGTGGCTTCCTCCACTCCGTGATGTTTCCACAAAACCTTTACCAAAGGGATGGTCTTGCCACGCAGGACTTGATCCCGCCTATCCAAGACCCGAATCGGTCTCTCCTCGAATGAGGCACCCTCATCTACCTCTAAGTCGGTCCAATCTAACACATGCGATGGATCTGGCTCGTACTTCCGAAGCATACTCACATGAAACACGTCATGAACTCCGGACAACTGTGGCGGCAACGCTAAACGATAAGCAACCTCGCCAATCCTCTCAAGGATCTCAAAAGGCCCAATGAATCGAGGGGATAACTTCCCACTCTTCCCAAACCTCATCAAACCTCGCCTAGGTGATATTTTCAGAAAGACATGATCACCTATCTCAAACGCCAAAGGCCTCCTCGTACGGTCGGCATAACTCTTTTGGCGACTCTGGGCTGTAACAAGCCTCATACGGATTAGTTCAACTTTCTCCGTCGTCTCCCTAACCAACTCCGGACCCAATAAAGGTGCGTCACCCACCTCGGCCCAACAAACCGGAGACCTACACGGTCGGCCATACAAGGCCTCAAACGGTGCCATATCGACGCTAGACTAAAAGCTGTTGTTGTAGGCAAACTCCACCAATGGTAAGTGCCTCTCCCACGTCCCACTGAAGTCAAGGACACAACCTCGAAGCATATCCTCAAGGATCTGAATAGTACGCTCAGACTGCCCGTCAGTCTGAGGATGATAGGCCGTACTAAAGGTCAACTTAGTGCCCAAGGCACTCTGCAAACTCTGCCACAACCTGGCAGTAAAACGAGGATCTCTATCTGAGACGATCGTCACTGGGACCCCGCGCAATCTCACTATGTCCTGAATATACAAGTCGGCGAGATGATCTACCGAATCTCTCACGCGCATAGGAATGAAATGCGCCGACTTAGTCAACCGGTCTACAACCACCCAAATAGCATCACTACCCCGCTGAGTCCTCGGAAGACCTACAACGAAGTCCATAGTGACATGCTCCCACTTTCACTCAGCAATAGGCAAGGGTTGCAACAAATCCGCTGGCCCCTGATGCTCGGCCTTCACTTGCTGGCAAGTAAGGCACTTAGACACGAAAACTGCCACATCTCTCTTCATACCCTGCCACCAAAACTGGCGACCCAAATCCCGATACATCTTAGTACCTCCCGGATGCACCGCAAGGCGCGAACGATGGAACTCTCGGAGTACTTCCTCTCGGCAAGACTCCGTCACAAACAAACGGTCTCGGTATCTCACACTCAGGTCGGGATACACCGTCAAACCCTTCTCAGCCTTTCCACTTGAGATCCTCTCTCGGAGGGATTCTACCTCAAGGTTACCTCTCTGTGCCTCTAACACTCGAGTCACTAGTGTAGGCTGCGCAACAACAGAAAACAAAGCCACAGCCTCAACAGATTCGCCCAGTAGCAAATTAAACTCGCCAAGTGCTCTTAACATTCCCCATTCCCGGATGGCTATACAAGCTACATCACTAATGGATTTCCTACTAAGGGCATCGGCCACAACATTAGCCTTCCCCGGGTGATAGTGCAACTCGAAATCATAGTCCTTAATGAACTTCATCCATCTCCTCTGCCTCAAATTCAAGTCTCTCTGTGTAAACAGGTACTTCAAACTCTTGTGGTCCGAGAACACCTCGAACCTCTCACCATAAAGGTAGTGCCTCCAAATCTTCAAGGCAAAGATCACTTTAGTTATCTTCAGCTTGAACTTTCTTTGTTAATTGTAACTTGTAAGCT